CCACATCAATTTTTTTTAATTTATTTTTTTTAATTTCAGTAATTTTAAAGAACTTCAATAGATGTCTAGGTTCTAGAGGCTATAAAACTGAGCAAAGGAAACGTCAAAGAAATTAAACCAAACATTCACTCCACTTACTGTGAGCATTTTGTTATGGGCCTCTTAAAATGGAAAAGGGAAGCTCTTGAGAACATCAGAATGGGCACTGGCTTGCCTCACAGTTTTAAGGACGGAACAAAAACGAGGTACCTGTATGAGCTATACTTTATGAAATCATCCTGCACTTTTAAGGTAATAGCCTATATCGTTTTAATGATGAGGTGTTAAATCAAATGTCATCTCTGCTTACTGCACTGATAAACTTTGAACTTTAGAAAACTTTTCTTAGTACTAATCATGTCAGAGACAGCAAAACCTTTTTTTTTTCTTTCATTTTTCTCCTTAAGCACCAGCACAGCAACTGGTAGATTTTTATACATTACTCTGTACCTTTCCCTCCTTTTAGCCACTCTCAAAGTAATAAAAATTAAGATGGGAAAGGTCTGCTCAATCCTGAGATGTATATCCACTTTTGATTACCTAAGATCCCACATCACTTTTCATAAGAGTTAGACATGTTAATAATTGTCTTGGCTAAACTCCAATGAAATAACACTAGTAATGTAGTTAAGTAGAGTTCTTCACATGGTTGCACCACCAAGGACTTGTCTTTGGAATATCAGGTGCTACATAACTGGAAGATAATGGTCATTCAATATTGTGTGTGCAAAATAATTCTAAGTGTGTTACATTCTTTATCCTACTACTGCCATGCAGTAACTTCCAGGCTGCATGGAAGGGGTTGAGAGCAAGGGGAGTAGAGAGAAGTTTTTAAGATAAAGGAACATTTATGGGACAAAACGAGTGCAAGCATTCCTCTGTATTTTTGTTTATAAGGAGCTCTGATTTAGGAAAGTACTTTAATACAAAATTTCAGTTTGCTTTTAGGACTTAACCCCTTAACAGTCAAAATGAAAAATCCTTGTGGCTGGGATCTACTCTATCAGGACAGGCTTTTTTTCCCCCCACAAAACTATTAATGAGGTTAACTAAATTATTGCTTCCATGTTGTTCCTCTGGGAGCTGAAATAGGCTTTACAATTACCTGTGCTTCAGCTAACCCTTGCTAGTTTTCCAAATGTTGTTGTTTAGCCTTTGATGTGATATTAGATGTCCATGGAACGCAGTGTGGATGACTCCTTTGTTGCCATGATGTAAATACCAAAGCATAAATAAATTCTTCGTTTCATTAGGAAGGAAAGCAGAAAGCTAGAACATTGCTTAACCATGACAGCCCTTCCTTCCCCAGGGTGTGGAGGTGAATGAACCAGCAGAGGAAAGACTTTGGCAACTAGAGTAACTTCCAGAGATTTTTAAATGGAGTTAATCCTGGGCTGATTTGGGCAGCAATTCATGGGCAGGTGTGTAGCCAAGCTGTATTTCATGGGATTGGTTATTCTCCTGAGTACAGCAGGCAGCATTTGGCCTTCGTAGTCTCCTTTTGCACTCAGATCCCTCTGTTGGCTAATCCTGCCTTAGCCTGAAGAAGAATGTAAAGCATCTGTGATAACATGCAAAAATCAGATCAATCTACGTTGTAGAGAGTTCCAAGGCAGTGTACAGTCAACTCCAACAGTGGCTAAATCTTAGTGAAGAGAGCACTGGACTGTGACAAAGGCCATCTGTGTTCTATTCCCAGCTCTGCAACAGGTTTGCTGAGGGGACCTTGGGCAAGTCACTTCAGCCTTGTGGCTCAGTTTCCCCATCTGTAAAATGAGGATAAAATATTTTTAAAGTGCTTTCCGATTGGAGAGCCAGCTATTTAATTCATTTTAGTGGCAGATCCATGCTGAAGTCTGTTTGTCTGTCTCATACATAATTTTTAGGTACCATTAAAATGAACTTCTACTATACTGCAACTGACTTTTAAATTTGACTGCCTTGGCTATCATTTCTACTTCCACATAACCAAACTGAAGAGAATATTGTCAGCATAAATGGCACACTTCCAGCTGAAAGTTCTGTGCCATATATCCTGGGGAGCAAGACAGTTAGTTTACTTTGCATAGTCAACATGGCTGTTCAATGGACAGCACTTGCACTTCCTATCTAATGTACAGTATGAGGATTTACTCATGCTGTCTTCTGAAAAATACTCTCATGTCTTGTATTTCTCAGGCCCTATAAGACTGTAAGAGGTGTTTATCAGGACAGCAGGAGTAAAACTAAAACTGAAAAGGTGGGAGAAGCAGGTAAAAGTTCCCTACAAACAGGGCCAAGGAAGCCTGACATTGTGCTTTTCTTTTTTTGTCAAAGGGTGTATCTACAAATCATCAGTGAAATAGGAAACCCCTTAGTCCTTTACAGGATTTTTTAATTAAGGACATAATTTTTCTGTCTCCCTCTTTCTTAAATGAATTCACGTGGACTCTGTGCTTCCAATACCTCCTCAAAGAGACTGCACTGCAATGCAGAAATTGGAAATAAAGCCACTACTCAAAAGATAGGTAATGGGCTATGGAACCTTCCACATAGCTTTTTGCTTAATATTTGCTGCAAGTGGGTAGAGACCCAAATCTTTTCCTTTCGAGCTTTTATTTGGTGGTCCAGCATACTCTGAAGTGTGTTGCCCTGGGATTGAAAAAGGCTATACGCACTTGGAGTATGCACTTAACCAAACATACATAAACAATCAATGCTCATTAAGTGCACTGTCAGTGCTGTGTACTAGCCCTTGCTCCTAAAAGTTTGAAAGTGAGAGAAGCTGATCAGTTTCAGGATTACTAACACAACATTGTAAGTAATGCTGACTAACTGTAGCCCTGATAGCTGTGGTATTAGTAGCCCCCAACCTGACTAGCAAAATTTCTAATAGTCATTGTTGAGGCTCATGTTAGATACCTTCAGACATGAGTAACTGGTGCCTCCTGAATCTGGGGGGGGGCACCTGCAGCAGCTGCCAATGGCAGCGGTCCTGTCAGGGGGGGCACCGGCTTACCGACAGCATCAGTGTTGGCCATCAAGGTGGGCACCAGCCCTGTCAGGGGAGGCACGTGCACCCCTGTGAACCCCCTACCAGTCGCCTATGCCTTCAAAATAATGGTGTCTGTGAAACAGACTAGCTCCCACTAGGGATAGAAGTTACACATAAACTGGTTTAAGTGATCAGAAACTGGTTTAAGCCTGTAACAGAACAGAAGTTCAGTGCACATAAACTAGCTTCAAAATGGCTGAAACTGGTTTAAGATAAACCTGGTTGAATGTAGTATCAGACTTAACTGATTTAGGTCAAACTGGTTTATGACATTTCTGTCTCAGAACCCTTTTTGCCTCAAGTGAAATTAGTTCCTCAGCATCCCAGCATGCTTTACGGCCCTGGGCTCGGCTTTCTGCTCCAGAGAGCAGGGCTGGTCCCAACCCTCTGCTCCCTAGCTGGAGCAGTAAGGGCTGGCTCACTGGACTCACTGGCTGGCCCACCCCCCGCCACGCAAACCCTGGATGGGGTCTGGGGCCGGGAAGGGGGGCTAAACTCATCTTCCCCCAAGCACAGAGCTGCCCTGCCCTGCTGGCTTAGTGCTGGCTGCAACTGGACTATAAATCCCAGAGGCACCTGGAAACAGGAAGAGGAAGTGATGAGCAACCCTGCAAAATCCTGCTGCTGCGACTGTGGACTGCAAATCCCAGAGACCTTGGGGGCAGCAGGAAGAGAAAGCAAACATACAGCCCATGCTGGCTAGGTGACAGAGCACTGTGCTCTAGCGCTCCCCAGCTTCTGGCTTAAGCCACTGCAGGCATGTGGCTGCACTTTCTGAATCACAAGTGAATATTTGTTCATTTGCTTATTGGTTCAATCTTTGCAGATCAGACTAACCTGCAAAGACTGAATCAACTCAGCCTTGGGCTTTCTGACTGTCTGTACCTAGCCAGGATGTTCAAGGCTTCTACTAACCCTTTGACAGCATTGTTCTATCCAGTACTCCATTTAGGTGCCTTAGATGTAGCAGTAGTTACAAAATAGACAATGTAGCTGATAGATGCTATATGCTTAACTGACTTATGCACTTAGTTGGTATTCAAGTAACAAAAGTGACATTGCAAGCATTAGGTTAAAAATTGATTAGGTTAAGTAATGAAAAGTGGTTACAGGAAAAAAAGGAGAGTTTTAATTTGACAGTATTGCTTTAAATATCGCATTACTTTCTGAAATGTTTTAACTACCGCTATGATTGTTATAACAAAACAGATGCAAGTCTTAGAGCAGAAAGAAATTAAAGTAAAAATTATTACTTTTCAGTTGAACTGCTCTGTGTATTTGACAAGTTTGTATGTGTTGTCAGAACCACTCTTAAATCTGTGCAGTCAATTTCCCAGTTCACGTAGATCTTCCAAATGGCAACAGAATGGAGAGAAGCACATGTTAAAATAAGTAATTGAAGAGCCACAGAAGATACAAGGAAAGATGCACCTGGAACTATTTTTCAAATCTTTAAAAATGTCATGAAACAAAATTGACTGCACTGACTGCAAAATGTACCTGTGGGTTACAAGCTATATGCCCAGATATCTAATGCTATTTTTAAATGAGTGAAAGGGCAGGAGAGCCCTAAGCCTCAGGTTTTTTAAGCCTTTGCCTGCCTCACCAAGTGTAAAGTGGGGTCATGCTTCAAATGAACAACACTAAGAAAAATAAAGGTGAGGAAATCAATCAAGAATTAGAAAGACCATCATCATTAAATCATACTTCATTAAATTATAATTTGGGGTTTATGGGCCTGATCATATGCTTAATTTTCACAACACACATACTGTATCTTCTCCTGTTAAGTGTTAGATAGCCCTCTCAGGATGTTATGCAACTGAGTGATATCTCTGGTTTAAAAATATATCTATTATTTTTGCACTAGCCTGAAAGTATTATCAAATCTTTCTAATTAAAAAGGAAATGTGTGAAAATAGGGGTGAGGAATGTTATCATTTTAATATGGTAGCAGTTTGATTACTTTATTTTTTATTTATAGAAAACCTAAATTACTTTGGATTGATAGATAGACAACAGAGGGCTGAAATTGCTCTTCTCTGGGAAGCTTTTCAATGAAGGAGGTTTAGTGTCAAGGCCTAAAATAGTGCTACCTGCTATCTTCATTCACGTAAGTAATCCTTACTCACATGAGTAGCCCCATTGAAGCCAGTTTTGTCATTCAAAGCACTAAACACAGCATCACTTCTCAAATGGCTACTCTTGCATTCGCTTCAAGGATAACCAGTATGTCTCTTGAGCAAAAATGTAATTTTATTTATATGCCTTCATATTACTTCAGCCAATCTTTAAATTTCACAACTACAGCTATATCAATTCAACTCTCCCAACTATGGCTATATCATTTCAATGCTGATATAAAAAAAAAATCTTAGATATGAGATGGCAATAACTGTATTTGCTTAGCTTAGAATGGAGAAATTAGATGTGATAGTATTCGTTTAAGTATTTAAGTATGGACCCTGAAAATATGTAGTGCTATAACAATATTAAAAATAAATCAAATCACAAACTTTAATCCTTTAGGGCACAAGCCAAATGCCACGGGAAGTCAGGGCAAGTTGCCCTGTCCCTAAGGGCAAACTGTCCTACTTAAGCAGGTTTCTTGTACCAGAACTGGAAGTCAGAACCACTGGTCTATACAACTAGACAATTTCCATGTTCCTAACATATAAGGAGTCATCTGAAAACTCTTTGCCTCTCTTCCTATCACCTTCAAAATTAGTAATTACAAGAAAATGAAGTCTTTTCTTTACATGTCTTCATGTTACCACAGCCAAACTTTAAATTTCACAACTATGGCTATAATAATTCAACTCTCACAATTATGGCTATATCAATTAAACTCTCATCATTTTTTTTCTCCCTGAAAACCTCCACATGAGAAAGAGATTGGCAGGGGAATGGACTAGATCTGGCCCCTGGCTCTACATCATTCAGGCCACAGGGCTCCCTGTAGACCAGGGCCTTGCTCATCAGACTGAATGCAGAGGGGTGGCATGGGGCCTGGTCTGGATGTATAGGGCCAAAACCTTGAGCACCACTAGACTAGAGGACCTTTTTTCCAAGAATGTTCCTTGGCTCATCCTTTATAAATGCACTGCCATGGGCAGTGGCAATGAAGGACAGATTTCTCCATGTATGTAGGTCTGTGACAGGGCACCCTAACCCTGTCACAAGGAAGAAGGTGCACCCCTATAAGGCCAGAACCTTCTGGGCATGGAGGGCTGGTGAGGAAGGAGTTAACTGCTGAACTGGGACGGCTAGTCAGGTGACCGGAAAAGGCAGGACTATAAAAACCCTGGGTTGAACAGCAGAAAGGAAGTGAGCAGCCAACGGGGAAGCAGTGCCCCTGAGAGCTCCAGGAAGAAGTTTGGAAAGCGGTCCACGGCAGGAAGGGGGAAGCTACTGAAGCCCCTGTGAGACGACGACTGCATCCACAAACAGGACTGAAGCCAGTGGTACGGAGCCGAGACTCAAAGAGAGTTCATGTAAGCTGACCCGCTGCGTTGATTGAGCACATGCAGTTATTATTATTTTGTTTGGGGGATTATTGAATAAGACCAGAGGTTTGGGTGAGGCTATTAGGGGACAGAGGAGGCCTCATTTTTGGGGACCCACTCCGGAGTGGGAGCCCTGGTGCCAGTGAGGGCACAGCTTTTGGGGGGCACAGCCCCGGCGCCAGTGAGGCACAGCAAGACAGGGCTGCGGAGAGCCCAAGTGCCAGTAAGGGTGCAGTTTTGGGACGATCTTAAAAAGGCCAGGGAGGCCTGGTGCACCTGGGGGTGCAAGTATATATTTTTTCTATTATTTGGACTGGTGGGGGTCACATCCTGGTTTTGAATTTGTGACCCCCTGGCTGTGGGACCAGCGCCTGTGCCTCTGGGCCAGGGAGTGCCGTGCCCCGGAGGCAAGACAGGGCTGCGGAGAGCCCAAGTGCCAGTAAGGGTGCAGTTTTGGGACGATCTTAAAAAGGCCAGGGAGGCCTGGTGCACCTGGGGGTGCAAGTATATATTTTTTCTATTATTTGGACTGGTGGGGGTCACATCCTGGTTTTGAATTTGTGACCCCCTGGCTGTGGGACCAGCGCCTGTGCCTCTGGGCCAGGGAGTGCCGTGCTCCAGAAGGGAGCAGAAAAGGGGGCCATGAGCCTCCATGGCACTGGAAGGAAAAGCTAGAGCCTCGGAGTCAAACCCTGTTTAGTGGGTTTGGATGGGGACGCCTAGCTAGAGAAAAAGGGGTCAAGCCATCCTAGGAGAGACCCCAGCATTCCCAATATAATAGGCAGTCTCCCGCTCGCATAATAACTTCTCGCCTGCCACGTCTTGATGGATTAGGGCGGGACAGAAGAATTCCAAGAGGGCTCCAAGGGTGCCCCACGTAAGGCGTGGATGACCAGGAAGATGGCGCTGGGGAGGGCTACCTGTTACAAAGTCCCATCACTGCCCTTGGGAATCGAGGGGCGGGCTTTTCCACCATGTTTTACTACGAGAAATCTGTTCTTGATAGTCAGCCTTGATTTTTTTTTTTCCTTCCTCTGTTCTTCTTTGCATCCACTCCTTCTAGGTGTAACACCTTAAATAATTCCTCTGCTTCTGTGTGTCAGTTACTTACAAGTTGTTTAATCACTGCTTTACTAAGTTATGTTATACATAAGTATAAGGTATATGGAGTCTATTAGAACATCTGTACTTGTTTTACTTTGGCTGGTAATGAGGTGTCTAGAACCACTTTAGCAATAAAACAGTAACTATGCCAAGTCCATGCCTGCTGCATGGTATATGAACACAAAACAAAAACAAAGTTCCTGCTCCAAAGAGTTTGCCATGCAAATTGTATTACAGATTCAGCTTTTCTAATGAATGCGTATATGTAACCAAAATTCTTTGGTTTGTTGCCAAGTTATGTTCTAAACTCATGTCTGATTTACTGTCCTCTATCACTGCTAAACTTCTTGCCACATTATTGCTTCCTATGTTTCTTCTTCCCATAAAACTTCGATTTGTGCAGAACATATTTTCCTTGGTGTTTACCAAGAAAAATACAGTGATGAATGAATTGCGTTTTGTTCCTTTTTGTTTGTAATGATAGGAAATCTAAGGGTCAAACTTTCAAATGTAGATGCTTCTGAAGTCAAGCAGCTGACTCTGCATTAGGTAGATGATTTATGGATGAGCTAGATGCCAGAATGCAAGTGCCTACCAATGGACACTCAGGTACAAGCAGTAAAACATGTGGCTTTGCATGCTAAAATTAGGGAAAAGATATTATATGCTTCAGGGCTACACTTTGGCTGTTGTGCAGATTAATATAAGTCATTCCCTCTTCTTCAGACACAGTGCACAAGTGATTTAGGACACATCTACATGGCAACCTTACAAGGCTGCACAGAGACACCTCCAAGCATACTGTGCCATTCCAGTGTAGAAATCAGAGTAGCTGAAACTGTCTGGCACTTTGGGTAGGCTAATCAGCATTGCTGAATGACAGAGCCAGTTAGCCTGCCTTTGTGCTACATAACTCATCCATGGCACAGCACAGACACTCACTGCAGCTTAGAAGGCAGACTGTGCAGAGCAATGGAGAGTTGCTGGTCAGCAACAGATCCAGGATGGTAGAACGTGGGGTGGGGCAGTGGTGGAGAGTTTCACCTGCATTTTTCAGGCAGCCAGAGCTCACCAGCAAAATAGGGAGTGACCATATAACTGCAGCCCTCTCCAACTACCCCCCGCCCCAACCCTGGTCCTTACCAACCATACCCCCCACTTCAATCCTGTTGCTAGTCAAAGCAAACGCAAATCCATCATGCACATGTGGCCTAAATATACCATGAAGACGTGAGACTTCTTTTCAAGTGTCTAAAGTAGGTTGTTGTCAACAAAAACTCATGCTTCTTTGAACCAGTTAGTCTCTAAGGGCACTTTAACATGTGTCCTGGAGATAGGAGGGCAGGAACAGTGCTTTAATTAGAGCAACTCTCTGAGAGCCACTCTAATGAAAGTGCTACAGCATCTCGTGTATCAGTGTTTCCATGCTTCAAAACAGCAGCGGGGGCATTTGAACTAAAGCTCAAATGAGTTATGAACTAATGCTTTAGTTCAAACAAGCACCCCTGCCACCATTTTGAAACATGGGAACGCTGATACACAAGACATGGGAGGCTGCTAGAATGTGGTAATTCCCATGTTCCAGCAGATCAATTAATCGAGTCGGCTCTGACACATTGAACTTGGTGTGTCAGAACAGGCTCCAATCTCATGTACAGGCACCCTAAAAGTGCCACCCTGTCCTATTTCCTACTGAAGTTTAAGCACTGGTCTCTGGTGGAGTTAGGATGGTAAGCCTGATGAAACAAGTGTGATGTGATAGAGTAATTCCTACATGTCACTCATTAGTGGTAGATGTCGTTTCTTAATCAACTGCTACACCAGTTTGGTTAGCAGCCTGTTGCTAGAGAGTATGAAAAAAACATC